TGACACATTTGTCATGCATGCTGTCACTCACTGACAATTGTCATTCATATGGTCACTGTGACACATTTGTCATGCATGCTGTCACTCAGTGACACAATTGTCATTCATACAGTCACTGTGACACATTTGTCATGCATGCTGTCACTCAGTGACACAATTGTCATGCATGCTGTCACTCACTGACAATTGTCATTCATACGGTCACTGTGACACATTTGTCGTGCATGCATTTCCTCAGTGACACAATTGTTATGCATACAGTCACTGACACATTTGTCATGCATGCTGTCACTCACTGTGACACATTTGTTATGCATGCTGTCACTCACTGACAATTGTCATGCATACGGTCACTGACACAATTGTCATGCATACTGTCACTGACACAATTGTCATGCATGCTGTCACTGTGACACATTTGTCATGCATGCTGTCACTCAGTGACACAATTGTCATGCATACAGTCACTGACACATTTGTCATGCATGCTGTCACTCACTGTGACACATTTGTCATGCATGCTGTCACTCACTGTGACACATTTGTCATGCATGCATACAGTCACTGTGACACAATTGTCATGCATGCATACAGTCACTGTGACACAATTGTCATGCATACAGTCACTGACACAATTGTTATGCATACAGTCACTGACACATTTGTCATGCATACAGTCACTGACACATTTGTCATGCATGCTGTCACTGACACATTTGTCATGTATGCATTCCCTCAGTGACACAATTGTTATGCATACAGTCACTGACACATTTGTCACGCATGCTGTCACCCACTGTGACACATTTGTCACGCATGCTGTCACTCACTGTGACACATTTGCCATGCATGCTGTCACTGACAATTGTCATGCATACAGTCACTGTGACACATTTGTCATGCATGCATTCCCTCAGTGACACAATTGTTATGCATACAGTCACTGACACATTTGTCATGCATGCTGTCACTCACTGTGACACATTTGTCATGCATGCTGTCACTCACTGACAATTGTCATTCATATGGTCACTGTGACACATTTGTCATGCATGCTGTCACTCAGTGACACAATTGTCATTCATACAGTCACTCAGTGACACAATTGTCACGCATGCTGTCACTCTGACACAATTGTCATGCATACAGTCACTGACACATTTGTCACGCATGCTGTCACCCACTGTGACACATTTGTCACGCATGCTGTCACTCACTGTGACACATTTGCCATGCATGCTGTCACTGACAATTGTCATGCATACAGTCACTGTGACACATTTGTCATGCATGCATTCCCTCAGTGACACAATTGTTATGCATACAGTCACTGACACATTTGTCGTGCATGCTGTCACTCACTGTGACACATTTGTCATGCATGCTGTCACTCACTGACAATTGTCATTCATATGGTCACTGTGACACATTTGTCATGCATGCTGTCACTCAGTGACACAATTGTCATTCATACAGTCACTCAGTGACACAATTGTCATTCATACAGTCACTGTGACACATTTGTCATGCATGCTGTCACTCACTGACAATTGTCATTCATACGGTCACTGTGACACATTTGTCGTGCATGCATTTCCTCAGTGACACAATTGTTATGCATACAGTCACTGACACATTTGTCATGCATGCTGTCACTCACTGACAATTGTCATTCATACGGTCACTGTGACACATTTGTCATGCATGCTGTCACTCAGTGACACAATTGTCATTCATACAGTCACTGTGACACATTTGTCATGCATGCATTTCCTCAGTGACACAATTGTCATGCATACAGTCACATGTTTGATAAATACATGTATGAAAATGCCAGTTGTTGTCAACAATGATTTATCATTTTTCTATGTTTTTTCAAAGGTTATTCCAAACTATTCATCAAGGGAAGATTATGATAGAATGTTTGCCTTGGGTGTTACAATGTAAGTCAGACAGTGGTATGAACACTTGATGCCGGCCTAACTGAGTATAAGATGCACTTTTGAGCAACATTTTGACATATTAGCTAACTCTAAGTGTTGAACAATGTCTGCACCTATATATGAGACTGGTCTGGGAATTGAACACGTCATGTATGGATGGATTTCCATATTACTTACATGTATATGTTTTAATAGCTATAGAACCCTCATACACATTGAATCTGAAAGTCACACAGCCCTGTCATGTAGGCCCAACATAGAATTTGGTTTCTATGGCAAACTTGCAATTTGCACCAAAACTTCTCAGGTGAGACAAGATTGATATTCAATCAGTGTCCAGAACTTGAACAAAAAATAAAAAATATTTAAAAAAATAATTATTTTTATATGCATCAACATTATATTTGATATAATTCCTACTAAAATGTAATTAATGTTCAATCCATAAACTAATTTACATGTCATCTCAAGCAATCAATTAACTAAGGAAAGGTAATGTGACCTTTTTGGGACTACCTTATTGTATGCGTCAGAATACATACTTTTGTAATGGTGTTATATGTCACCTGATCACCCGAGTGTATTGATATGTAAAAAGTAGTGCCGACTTGAAAGCTCTCTGGATTTTTTGATGTTTCGTGTGTTCCTGAGTCAACACATCACAGATAGATAGTTTCAGCTAATTGAGCTGTTGATATATGTATTGGTTAACAAAATGTATATATCAGTGAAAATGATTAGCAATGATCAATGACAGACTGAATAATCTACTGTGTTTTGTATTTATGTTCTAGGTATGGCCAAATGACTGCTGGTAGCTATTGTTACATAGGACCACAGGGCATTGTACATGGAACTACAGTAAGTCATAAAAAACTTATTTCGTATTTGAAGGTTCAAAATACCACGAATTAATGTAATATTGGCTCATGTAAGCATACCATACTCGTCTGACTTAGTGCCTTGGGTACTCGGTGCCAGAAATCATGTTTTTAAGGGGGATTGTTTAGCCAAGCATGTTCCCCACAAAAAATTATACGACGACAATTTTAGTTCACCATGTGCCAGATTAGGGGGGAATATTACGTCTCTTTGGGAAATATAAAATGCAAAACCTGCAAATTCCTCAACACTATTAAAATGAAGAAACAGGAATGGTAAAAAAAAATGCATATTTTATTACAATGATAATTACATACTATCAGATTTCTTAGTATCTATGGGAAAACAGTTGAAGTCAAGATCTTTATCATCATCTTTGTTGTCAAATGTGTCGATCGTACACAAACTCTTGATGCTTAGGAATTTCAGTCATGATTTTTTCTTGCACGATTTGATCTGCAACAGCGTTGTTGTGTCACAAGATGTGCTATCTCAGCACAGACCTATGTAATAATCTTACTAGTCAATTTTGGCTAAAATAGTGCTCCATTGCCATTTTACACTTAAATAGACTAGGGTTAATACACAGAACTTGATACTTCTTTCTACAATTTAAGTTATATTCTTCGGGACTTCCCAAAGGCATCCTGGTAACACAATTCAGAAGTGAATTTGGCAAAAAACAGTAAATAGCATTTTTTGAAAGGTAAACTGATTATGGAATGAATTATTTATCCTCTTTCACAATTGCTAACAAGTCATTTTCAAAGCGTAGTTTAATCATGGTTACCTTGGTCCATGGATTCGCACAATATTCACAGTGGCGGATAACCGTGCTGTATTATATAAATTTGATTACCGGAATTCAGAAAAGTCAAACAATGATAAAGTTTCATGAGTAGACATTTTGGTGCATTTTGGAAGGAATGGGCACTTAGCTGAACGAGACCTCGAAAATAGAAAAGCCCCCAAAATAGGGGGTGGGTGGGTATGACTATGGTAAATATTTTTCAAAATGTTTGAATTCAATCACTGGATCCAACTCAACTGCTCAGTGAAAACATGGCTTCAGCTCTGGAAGTACTAGAAATGACAAATCATGCAGTATGTGTTGGTACCACTGTTAATATATATACATTAACATATTTTATTTCTTGTAAAGATGCATATACTTTGTACTATTTGAATTTCACATTGACTTTGGTGAAATTTAGTTAAATATATAAATTACAAGGTGTGTCTAATGCAGCACGCAATCAATGTAATTTTTATGCTTCTAAAAATAAGAGGGACTATAGTAATTCCTGTCTTTGTAAAACAAAATATTAAATCTTTTGTCTTAGATTACAGTGATGAATGCAGGGCGTAGATACTTAGGAAGTGGTGATTTACATGGCAAAGTGCTTGTGACATCAGGTTTAGGTGGTATGAGTGGTGCGCAGTCCAAGGCTGCCGTCATATCGGGATGTATTGGTGTCATTGCGGAAGTCAGTAAAGAAGCACTTGAAAAAAGATACAAACAAGGGTACGTATCTATTGGTGCACAATTCCATTAGATTAGTTTTCATGATATTGTCATTACAGTAGCAGCTACCTTGTTGCAGCTATATTATCTTTAAAACTCATGCATGCAGTACGTGTTTACTTTGATTTGACGTAGTATATACCATGCTGTTTATTCTGTGATATTTGCTTACTTTACTGTCAGCAGCAACTATGAGTTTTTTTCCCCTCCACAGATGGCTTGTTGAAACCACAGATAATTTAGACTGCCTGATTTCGAAGATAAGGTGATTACTGACTATTAAATTATTGTTAAATGTTTTAATATGAAATAATTGTAAGATTAGATTATGTACACATTCATAAATGATATATAGTATGTACTATTAAAGAAGTTATTAAACAGATTATCCATAATCTTTTGATAGTTTTCTCCAAACCCTGAATTGGAGGAGCACAATTTTTCTAGAGCAAAGACTCTAATAGATGTTTTATGTTCTGTAACAGACAAGCAAGACAAAAAAAGGAAGCAACTAGTATTGGTTACCATGGCAACATTGTAGATGTTTGGTAAGTGAAACTGACAAGTTTACTCACACATAGTGATGCATGCTCTCATAGCAACTTTGATATCAATGTTTTCCTATATTTTTAGTTGTGGCAGTATTTGATCCACACCAAGTGATTTTGGGTTATCTTTTGACCCAACTGCTCATGTAGTAACTCTGCCAGTGCTAGTCACTTTGTAGTAATGTAGGTGATTTCAATATTGTTTTGGCTATTGAGATTATGATCTGATTCAAAAAGGACTGGTGGCCTTTTTTTTGTCACCAATTTTGAACCCGTTTCTTAGACACACTTTTACAGATTTTGTGTAAATTTAGTATCAATGCAAGACATAACGAGTTTTCGCTTAAGTTATTTTTGGATTTCAATAAAATTTACCAGCTGACGGTGATTTTCATCAAAATCATAGTTTGTTTTGTGATTTGCTACAAAATGGCCAACTGGTGGCCATGTGTGTTAGTCCCCAATCAAACAAAGTCCCAAAACAGGGGCTTATCATAAAACAAACATATGTACGATATGACAAATAATGTTTGAACATCATTCATTCTTGAGTTTAAGCTCTACTTTACCTCAGTAAATTGTCAAATCAAATATTAAATATGTTTAACAGTAATTTCATGTGTGTCTTGAAGTACAATCCTGCCATAAGTCTAGGCTTTCTATACCACATTCTGTTGTCAGTTTCATGTTCGTTTTTCTTGCTTAATGAGTTGAAAAAATTATAAACAAACAGCCTATCGGCTGAGATAGCTCCGCTGTTAGCAATGCACATTTCAATTGAAGAACTGAAGACATCATTAGAAAATGAACAATATGTATAGTTTGTATAGCAATCGGACTTGCTGTTTTCAAAAAGAAACAAAAATATCACTTTTTACCAAAAATGACATAAATATTCATCAAAATTAGATGATTGAAGATATCATCACGAAATGAACAAATCTGAGAAAGGTCTACATGTAGTATCTATATATGTAATATCAAAGCAATTGAACTTTTGGTTTTTAACAAGAAGTCGAAAAAATCACTTTTTACCAAAAATGACAAAAATATTCACCAAAATTAGAGAATTAAAGATATCATTACAAAATGAACAAATCTGGGAGAGGTCCACATGTAGTACCTATATATGTAATATCAAAGCGATTGCACTTGCGGTTTTTAACAAGAAGTCAAAAATATCACTTTTTACCAAAAATGACAAAAATATTCACCAAAATTAGAGAATTGAAGATATCAACATGAAATGAACAAACCTAAGAGAGGTCTACCCAAGGTACATATACACCAAGTATCACAGCATTCAGGCTTGTAGTTTTCAGTAAGAAGTCGAAAAAGTAAAACATTGACACGGACGACGGACAACGACGGACAATCACTCATATGATAAGCTCCGCTCGACAAAGTCAACAGCGGAGCTAAAAAAAAATAAACCATCATTTTTAGCTCATCGGTCCAAAACCCCTGGACCTTTAGTTCTGATTTATAAAGATTCCTTGTTGGTTGGAGATGATAATTTGTTCAGGAGAAGAGGATCTATCAACAAATCTGGAAGTTGGGTAAAAAAAGCTGAAATTTCTCAAAAAATGTCAGTCTGATTGACTTGATATATAGCATGTAGGTACCTTGGCTAGTCCTCTGTGTAGCCTATTGATGTGGTAGCATTATCTTCAAATTTGTATTTTAAGTGATTTTTTTATCATTTTATTTAATATTTCTCTACAACCGTCACACAGATTGCTTTCATGTCAACCATAAAGTTGCATGATGTAACCTGGACTGTCGACAGTCCTCGGGCCAAAGAAAACTATTATATCGCCTAGAACCAAGGAAACAATGTGCATTGTTTGTGACAGTCAAATAGAAAATATAAAAAACTGGAGGAGACTGTTTCGCAGGATCAACAGAACTACGACATGTGAAGAATTCGAATTTGTTGTGGCAGAGACGATCGATCTACACCTTGCCAGTTCGTATGCGTGCAGAAAATGTGGACTGAGAGTGTCGACTCTGCATAAAAACATAGATGAGTTCAGAAAAGAATTTCAACAAACTAAGTGAGAGTTATTTGAAAGGTCGCAGGCATTTCCCTCTGAGAGAATGGCAACTGAAAGTGGGGGATCCCTGGTTTTGAAACGAGTTCTTTCTTTTTTGACAAGACGAATGTCAACACGGCTCGATCGCTGAGGAACATATCTCTCCCCTCTATGTAGTTTGTGATAGTGTCTCGCTTGTATTCTTTGCAAGAAATATCATGGTAGTCTAAACGTTCTAGCACTTTTATAATGCATTCGTCAAGATTTTTTGTGTCATGATATCAAAAACTGCTGTGGAAAGTGTCGCGATCGCGTATAGTACAGTTAAAACAAACTTCGCGTAAGTCGTGGGCGATCCTTGTAGCCAGCAACCCCCCTGACCCTTTTTATGATTGGCCACGATAAAATGATAGACATCTGCGCGACTATTCTTTTGCATATGAAAGTACCCGGATCTGGTAAGAAATCTTACCAGTGAATTGCAGCACCGGACAGTCGGTCATGCTTAAGGGCACTTCATACTTCTGGTCGCGGCGTTACAATTTATTCATGCCTATTACGTTTATACACAATATTTATTAATATTAACAGATTAATATTAGGTACGACCGACTGTCGACAGTCTAGATGTAACCCTCTCTGTGATTTTGTCATATGGTGGAGTTATCTTAAATTTTGTATTTTTAGTAATTTTCTAGATACTATTTTGTTAAATTTTACGGCAGAAATACCACTTTCAAGAATTTTGTTCAAACTGCTAGATTTCAGGTGAGAAGGTCCCTTATTGGTTGAAGATGGTAATTTTTTCAGGAGGTGTAGATTGACTAGGTTCTGCAGTGCCCTCTCATGAAGCTGCTTTTTTTAAAAACTGGACAATTTCCCTATTTGATTTTCTACAACTAGCACTTGGCAATGTATCGTGCCAAGGAGTAGACAATTCATACAGTGATCACCCATGTACAGCATTGCCTAACTATACATTGACAATTCATACAGTGATCACCCACATACAGCATTGCCTAACTATACATTGACAATTCATACAGTGATCACCCACATACAGCATTGCCTAACTATACATTGACAATTCATACAGTGATCACCCACATACAGCATTGCCTAACTATACATTGACAATTCATACAGTGATCACCCACATACAGCATTGCCTAACTATACATTGACAATTCATACAGTGATCACCCACATACAGCATTGCCTAACTATACATTGCATGTTTTAAGCAATACCAATTTGTTGTGAAATTTTCTAATATCAGCTACAAAATTTAACACATACAGATTCATCTTGGCCTTGACATACTTGAGCAAGTATTGTACATTATACTTCTAATTCGTTGCTTGGCTAATGTTATAATTACCGATAAGTGTCAGCCCACAGACCTATTTTTACCTTGCCTGTACCATCAAAGATGGAAGGAAAGGTATATTAAAGGAAAGATTTTGTCCGGCGTTGTCGTGTGTTGTTGTCGTCGTCGTTAATAATTGTTATTGTGTGCATATAACTTTACTAATTCTATTTCAAACTTCAT